AGGGGACCCTGGTCGAGCCACATTTACAGTATCTTACCTGCAACATGACAGAGGGGAGCAGGAGAAAGGGCATGGATGGCGTTGGGTTTGAGTCCTGGCTCCACCCCTGCCAACTACGTGATCTGGAATTAGAGACTTAGCTTCCTTACACCTCAGTTTCCTTACCTGTACAATGGGGATAATAATCAGACTTACTTCATAGAGCTGTTGTGAGCATGCATGAGACAATCATGCATCCCCTTCCAAGGGCCATTTGTGTATTTATGACATCATTCGTGGGCCATAGTATCAAGCTGAAAATTAGCCTGCTATAGATTTATTGAATTTTGAGTCTTGCTTGTGATTGCATTGGCAGGGCCAAACCAACTGATTTTCTTGGCCTTATGAGGCCCACAGCCCGGACGTTCCTTACCCCTCTTTATAAACCAGGAAATGTTCTCTAAGTATCAGATGTTGGCCCCCAGCCTAGGGGGCCCAAAGTCCCGGAATTTTGAATTCATGTGGCACTTGAGTGGGAACTGCATTCCCCAGGGACTGTGGCTCATGGCTCTCTCCCTCCTTTCAGGGGCGTAACACATGAGCAGCCACTGAATTACACAATCCTCGGTCTCTTATTCCATTTCCAGAGGCAAAAATTGATTATCAGCCTTGCTACGTATTAGCTCGTGGATCTTGGGCAACTCTGAGCCTTAGTTTGTGAATGATCTGAGATACAGGTTAGCAAACTCCTCTCTCCACCGCATTGGGCTGTAATAGTGAGTGAGTGACACACGCCGCCATCTATGAGCACTGCTCTAACTTAGTTCTGTCCCCCTCCTCTGTTGACACCTGGGGCAGTGCCCACTGAGCACAGCCAGGGGTACAGACCCTCCCTGGGGGCCTCAGTCCCCACAGCCTGCAGATACAGGGACTCAGAGGCTGGAATTCAATGAGTCGTGTAAACATCAGGAAGACCACGCATGTTTCCCAGGGTGCAGAGACAGGCAGGATGAGCAATCACTATTTGCAAATTCACACTAATTGGTCATTATGGAGAAGACAGCCCCGGTCCACCGTGGATTTCGTCTGTCCATTTTTTAATCAGGCGCCAAAACCCTCAAAAATTCCCTGTTCCCCCGTTACTCAGATATGATGATATAATCAGGCTCAGAGGAGCAAGTCTGAGAAACGTCGCGTCTGACAGCTGTACAGAGCGGTTCCCTGAGGCCCCACGCAGGGAGGCCAGCACCGTGTGTGTCAGCTGAGAGCAGCGTCTGGCCCGTGACGGGGTGGGATGTGTGTGCAGAGCACAGCCTGAGACCACTTCTCACCTGCTCGGCCTCTTCCCTAAGGCCATCACGTGGGGGCTGGCGCAGGCTGTTTCCTTCCTGCTGCACCTGTCACGGGCAGACACGCACTCACCTGTCCCGGGGTGGCCACTGGGACTGGGGCTGGTACAGACGGAGTTGATGTATCTATGCCCTCGAAGGGAACGGATAGGCGAATTCCTGGCTGCCCACCCGTGCCCAAGGCACAGCAGATCTTAGGAATGTGGTGACCTTGACATGACAAAGAAATCCTTATTATCAGCTGTATTACTCTCCAGGAGCCAGCTCTGAATTCACAGTGTACTGCTCAGGATTGATGAAAACCAGACATAATTCTGGCCCTTTCGGAGCGGGCAGTCTAAGGGGAGGGGCAGACATTCATCAGCTCGTGACACTAAGGCATAAAACAGTACACTCTGCGATGAGTCTACTGCACCCCCTCGACCACGTAACGAAGGCACCCCTATGAGATGACGCAGGCAGAGCAGGCTTGCCTCAGCCAACTTAGCTGAAGCAAAAGAACTCAGAACTAATTAGCCATGGGGTGAAGACAAGGAGGGTGGACAGGAGTCTGACAGAACAAACAACCTATGCAGAATTCTCCTGGCAGGAGGCAAGGAACAGAGCCACTGTAAAGTCCCTGGGCGAGCCATGAAGCAAAGGGTGCAGGATGAGGGAAGGGGGCAGCGGCAGAGTGGGCAGGGAGCTGGCACTCTGTTAAGGACACGGTCTCTCCCTTCAGGGCAGCGGGCATCCACGGCAGGTGTCACACAGAAGGAGTGGGTGGCATGGAAAGCTGACCTTTGCCAGGGCTGTGTGGTATGTCTGGGAGAGGACAGGAAAGACTATTCCGGAAGCGAAGCTGCTGCAGGTGGTGGAGGGGTGAAGGCAGGCTAGTGTAACCACGCTACGGTGCCCCTTCCCCACTGCACATGCCAGCCCTGGGACCAGCCAGCCACTTGTGATTGGGAAAATTGCAGCTTGCTGTCCTTTTCAAATTGGCCGAAGCTAGCTGCTCGTGTTGTGGCCGATCAGAATGTGAGTTCAAGCAGATGGGGACCTAAAGCCGTGAGGAGCTGACCGCAGCGAGGCGGCCGCTGCAGATGCCAGACACGGGAGGAATGCCTGAGCACCAGCCCAGACAGCTGTCCCTGCCTATCAGAGAGGCCTGGAGGACCCTGGAAGCCTGTCTGACAACCGCCCCCAACTCTTCCCCCCGCCTTTTCCTTTATAAGTCCTCTTGCTAACGTGGAAACTGGGGAGGGCACATTTGGACCAGAAGAGTGTGCCTTCCCCAGAATGCCACTTGAATGAACCTGCTTCTCACATCCACGCTCCTCTCCGGTGCAAATGCCCAGCATGGAGCAGCCAGCGCCAGACTTCAACTGCTAACCCCCGGGTGTGCATGGTTCGATGCAGGGTGAGGTCCAGGAACTCTCAGTTCCGGATGAGCCAATGTGTAGGCGGGGGTGTCACAGCCAGGAGGGGGCAGGGCTTCGGGGAATGGGTAGACTGGGGTTTGTGGTTTGTTGAGCTGGATTGTGTACACATTATTACTGCTGTTGTTATTGTGATGGAAAACTTCAGTCTTACAAAATGCTGTCAGCCTCTGGCTACAGCCTCAGGAGACAAAGGACCACAGGAGACAGATGTTTAACCAGCAGGGAAGCAACAGCGGGCGTTCAGGACCTTGTGCGGGGTGTTCAGTAGTAGAGGGTCCAGCTATAGGCCAGGGTAAGGGAGACAATACTGCTCTGACAATTTCATATAGTATCTTTTAAAATATCACTTCTTAAACCACAGAGCCTTTAGCAGATGGCTTAAAAAATCCAGTATGTAAAATAATGGACAACTGGTCTACCTGGAGAGACACAGCCATCAACAAATTGGAGCACCTTCTTGGCTTCCACTCAAGACATCACAGGAGCCCTGGGCCTCCCAAGAGCAGGATACAGCCCACAACTTACTCCTTCAACCTCCCAAATGCAGGGGGATTTCAAAACAGGCCACACTCTGGGGAGCACGTTAGGTTGTGCACAGTCTTAACTACAAAGAGAGTGGAGCATTTGCAAGAAGCTCCTATGTTGCAGGCACTGCTGGGCCCTCACGTGGTTGAGCTCATTTCATTCCTTCCCGAGAGGCTGATGCAGTCTTCACCCATCCGACAGCCGATGGTTCTTCAGTTCAAGCCAGGATGTGAACTGGGAGAGGGGGCGGACGATGACAGCAGAGGCATCCTCTGTGCCAGCTGCTTTGCCTCCTCTCCCATTGCTTTTCCCCGCAAGCACTGGTACTAAGACCCTGGGAGACAGAGTGGCTTGCTTCCACCTTAATTAGTGCAGCAATTTGCTCAATTTTGTTTTGCCCCTTTTAAGAGTGTTAATCAATTTGAGCTCAGAATAGATTGGAATGGCACACAGATTGCTACGACAATCCCCAAATGCTAAATCCCGAACATCTCCATCAACCCCGAAGCCTGAGATCGGTGAAAATCAGAAACTCTGGCCGGCATCTCTGTGATCTATTTAAAATGTTTCAGCTCTGATATGGAAAGATAATGGCTTTATGAGGCTGGGAACAAGCAATTTGCCAGCATCAGCCTCACACCTAGGTGTCTGGTCCTTCCCAAGGTGACTGGAGACAGAGCATCAACATATTTCTGCAAAGTTCCACATTCATCTATCTACTGAGAACAATCTGTCAAATCTGTAAGCATCACAGGGCACCTGGTAGGCACCAGACACACAGAAAAGAGTAAGACATGCCTATTCCCCTCCCCCCTCCCCCGCCCAGTCCATGAAGAGGGGACCAGGAGATCTAGAAATGAATAGAACCCAGGGAAGGTTCTAAGAGGAGGCAGAACACAGTCCAGTCTGGAGTTGGACTAGACAGGTGGAAAGGGCACAGGAGATACAGGGAACAGAATGAGCGAAGGCTCAAACACAGCAGAGAGGGCGGAGCAAGCCCGGGTGTCCCCTGTTACTCAGAGTTGAGGAATCGGGAAAATCTGTAAGAATGACAAGAGGTGAGCCTGGAAGCAGAGCCAAGAGGCAGGCTATCCAGACCCTGTTAATCAGACCAGCTCTCAACTTTGATGCGAGCCAGGTGGCACTAACAGAAGGATGCTATGCGAGGGAGTGAGTTCACCAAACGGACGTTGTTTGGTTGAAATGCTCTGGCCCAATGTAATATTTATTCAGGACATCCACACCCCTATGTCTCATCTGAGCCTCTTAGCAAGCCCATGCGCTGTGAAGAAATCACCTTCCTCCCAATGAACACACAGGTCGGGCACAGGTGGGTAATTTACTTTGTGTCTTACAACCAGTAAATAGCATACAAATTCAAACCCAGGTCCACTGGACTCTTGAGTTCTTTCTTGCCTGACCGACAGAATTCTCTAGATAACAGACTGCATACCACTTTCAGACATGTACCAGGCCAACAGCCTCCAGCCTCTACAGAAAGCCTGGGTGGCCAGAACCACATGGACCAACATGGACTCCGTGGCCATGGAGCAGTGACGTTAACACTCTCCGTAAGAAATTAGGAGGCAAAAAGCCTCAGGCATCATAGCCCGGGCATCATTGTCAGGAGATGAGATCAGTGCCACCGCTACAGTCTACTAAAGCAGACACAGGAAAGCACCCAGCTAGAGCTGACGAGAGGCGCCGCTCTCCCTCCTGCCCATACCTTGAGCTCGTCGGCGTTGTAGAAGTCCACTCGCACGGCAGGCACCATCCAGGTCTGGAAGAGCGTGGCCAGGATCTGCTCTGCGATGGAGTCGGCAATGAGGTGGAAGTGGAGAGGGTTCCGCCTGTGGGAGCGAGAGGAGGAAGAGTCGGGTCGGGGGTGGGTTAAGACGGTTCAGTTGAAGCCTCAAACACCCTCTTCCCAGCTGCCAAGGCGCGCCCACTTTCCACCAGTGACTGCAGAGGTAACCACGAAGCGGTGCTTCCTGTGAACCATGTGGGGGTGGTAACGGAGGGAAGCATGTTGTCACCCAAGCTCGGCCCCTCGGGGAGGTGACACCCTCGCACCAGGCAGGGTCAACTCCTTGGCAACACCTATTCCAAGCCAAACATCTGTGTAGCTGCCCAGCCCTGTCCTATGTGCTGGCCATCTGCAGAGGCTCACAAAGTTTATGGGAAATGCATATTAAAAAAAAAAAAAAAAACTGCACGGATTTAAAAATGTTTGTACCAAAATAACCTTTTGTAAAAGTCTTCATGTGAAAGGCAGAGTGACAGAGATGGAGAAACAGAGAGAGGCAATGAGAAAGACAGAGGGAACGAGATCTGCTCTCTACTGTTTCACCTCCTGAATGCTTGTAGCCAGGGACTCCTGTGAGGGTGGCAGGAACTCAAATGTGCACCATCAGTCACTGCTTCCGAGGGTGTGCATACACAGAAGTAGGCACAGGACTCTACCCCAGCCCTTCTGACACGAGATGCAGGCCTAATTCACCATGCCACACTACTCCTGCATTTCCACAGCAAGCTGAATCCCAAGGTCACGGCGTCATATACATAACAACCTTTCTGGAGCACCCACGCACAGACCTTCCGTTTAGTTTCCCATATCTGCTGTGCTCTCTCTTCATCCTGGGCCTTTGCAGGCAACCCTCCTGCACTGGCTCACTCAGTAAACACTCGCTGAACACACCCTATATGCCAGTTCCTGAGACGGACGCTGTGAGAGCAGGGACAATGTGTCCCCAGAGTTCAGAGTCCTGCCCATTCACAACGTGCTCCTAGAGTCTTTTCCTGACCGCCCCTGTCTAGTTCGGGGACCCCTCCAAAGTGTCAGCTATCTCAGCACTAGGTGCTAAGGTACCCATTCTCCTGACAGGGTCACTCGTTTCCTGGTCTACATTGCTGCTTGCCTGCGAGCTCAAACAAAGTCAAGGATCATGTCAGATGTATCCACATGGATTGTCCCCCAAATCTGTAGCCCAATGCCTGGAAGGTGGAGGGAGTTTAATCAAGGAATTCAAGGGAGAGGTCAGTGGGGGACTGCGGACAGACAAGGGGGACAGGTGCAGACGTGCCGGCTAGGGGATTATCAGACGAGGCGGATGTGAAGTGCGGGCCTGATTAAAACATCTCAGAGCATCAAGGAAGCTGACTCTGGAAGGATTTCAGAAGAGATCTCGGTCACGGGAGAAAAAGGGAGAGGGGGAAGCAGGAAGCAGCACTGAGCCCCTGGCGCCGTCTGCAGGACTGGGCATACAACAAGCAGGGACAGTGAAGGGAGACGATGAGTTTGCAAAGAGCATTGGGTACACAGAGTCGAAGGTCGGGCAAGGCAAGGCCAAGTGGTGCTGCTGGACGGATGCGTCCAGATCTAAACACCTGCTATCCAAGGTCAGGCTGCTGGACACGGAACAGGTACTAGGACGACAACCTGAACACGTGAATCAAGGAAGCGGTCAACACTGAAGATTTGCTCTGTGACCCACGGCTTAAAGACTGGCAAATTCCCCATTCCACCATCCACGCCTGGGGGGCAGGGCATGCTTCCCCTACAGCTTCCCTAAAAGCCCTATAAAAAAAACATTCCCTATCAGAAGCTGTCAGGGGGCCCTAGTGATGATTGTTGGCATGCAGGGACAATGACTTATCTGCCCATTGGCCAGTGACTCTCCTGAAGGCCAAGTCAGAGGAAGCTAGCTAAAACCACTGGAAAGTCAGACGGAACAATTAGCCCTCAGCACAGGGACAACTGTCCCCCGGTGCCGCAGGAGCCACGATGGAGCCCTGTTCACAGAGAATGGATACAGGTAAGCTTGTGAAGCCATCGACGATTAGTTGCCTCTGCAATGGAGGCACAGCTTAATAAGCCATGGGTGGTCACAGTCAGGGGACCATGCTTCCCACACGGCTGCATCTTGGCTTGTGTTGGTCCCTCTCCACGGACTGCCCTCCCCACCCTGGAGGCCCTGAGAATTCCTGTTCACCTTCCCAAATCCCCGCTGCATGTCAACCCTCTTAGAGCCCTTCCTTGTGTTGTTTCCCCTGGGAACTCTGCCCTCTGTCTGAGAGGTGACTCCACCATCTACAGCAAGGCACCGTGCTGCATGTTCCAAGCCCGGGCTCCTTGTCTCTGCTTGGAGCCCCTGAGGCTGGGAGCCAGCCTTTCACCCCATCCACAGAGCCCAGCAAAGAGCCTGGCAATTAACTGGGCCTTAGTAAACATTCCTGAGACAGAGAAATGAAGCCAATGGCCACCTTCCACATCGCCATCAACAGTACCGCGGCTAGGTTAAGGACCACAGACAGCACACGCTCTTCCTCATCGACCAGTGCCGAGATGTCTGGGTCAGAACCCTGGTTGCATTTCTTACTGAGAGACCGTAAAAAAATGTTACTTCGTGGCTGGCGCTGAGGTGTAGTAGGCTAAACACCGCTTGCAGTGCCGGCATCCCATACGGGTTCTGGTTCACTTCCGATCCAGCTCTCTCTGCTATGGCCTGGGAAAGCAGTGGAAGATGGCCCAAGTGCTTGGGCCGCTGCATGCATGTGGGAGACCCAGAAGAAGCTCCTGGCTCCTGGCTTCAGATCAGCTCAGCTCCAGCCGTTGCAGCCATTTGGGGAGTGAACCAGTGGATGAAAGACCTCTCTCTCTATCTCTCTGCCTCTGCCTCTCTGTAACTCTGCCTTTCAAATAAATAAATAAATCTTTTACAAAATAAAAAAAAATACTTCATATCTCTAAGTCTCAGTGGGCTCCTCTTCGAGAGAGGAATTTTAATGATATAATACTGATAATCCTAAGGATAAAGTAGGACCATGCAAGGGCACTTCAAAAAGTTCATGGAAAATATATATTATGGAAAAGAAAACTATACATGAATTTAAATAATTCTGTACCAAAATAAAATCATATATTTAATTCCATTTTTCTACAAACTTTCTGAAATACCCTTCAAGTGCTTGAAAGTAGCAGTACAAAGTAAGCTCTCAATAAATGGCAACTATTACCAGTATTAACTTATGAGACGACTATTTTCTCTACTACCTTTGTATCACCTTTCCAATAATGTCTTTTTCAATTAGCTCCTGCATCTACAGACCAGCAAAACAATGAGCTGCATGAATAAACAAACAGCAAACAGCTACTGAGCAGTAACCACACGGAAGGCACAAGAGGGATACTGGGAATGAACGCACTAAGAGTTATCTCTCTAGGCAGCTGACAGTGCGGCACACGTGCAAAGAAAGACACAAAACACTGGAATGTGCAAGTGCCACCAGTGGCCACCACCCACATGCGCAAGGACTGGAACCCTCTGTGTAGACAGTGAAGGGATCTCTTAGAGTTGGGTGGTGCACAGCCCGCGCAGGATGGCTTTGCAAGAAGCAGCACAGAATCTACCGGAGTTACGATATGGCCTGAGACCCCACCCAGGACGCCTGGACTCACGTCCCACCTCGGCTCCCACCTCCAGGTTCCTGCTAAGGCACAACACGGCAGCAGCAGCTGAAGGCTCAAGTCGCTGTGTCCCTGCCACCCATGTGGGAGACCTGGATGGAGTTCCTGGCTCCTGGTTCAGCCTGGTCTGGCGCCGGCTGCCGCAGGCATTTGGAGAGTGAATCAGAAGTTGGAAGGAATGAACGAACTAAATCTCTCTCTCTTGTGCTTTCAAGTAAGTAAAACAAATAAATAAAGCTTAAAAAAAAAAAAAAAACCTGCAAGACTATGAGGGTGAAAGAGACCACTTCTTGATGGAGAATCTAGGGTATCTCCATGGGTTTTGTAATAAAAATTAAACTGCACCTTGGGATGGGACAGGAGGGTATTCTGCAGAACACATCAGAGCAAGGAAGGAACAGAGGGAGGGAACGGCAGGGCCTGCATGAAAGAGCAGTGTTCTTATTTAGATGGCTCGCACAGCAACACTTATTGGGCATCTACTGTATGCCAGGATGAAAAGGAACAAAGGGAGACAATGTCTCGGGGGGTAGACCAGGCCACGATGTGTGAGTTCTTAAACCATGGATCCAGGCAAGGTAGGCGGCTCGGAGGCCAGCAGGTCAAAGCTGGGAGTCCAGGAAGTTACAATCTGGGGACAGAGCAGACGCTGAGCAGTAGCGGGTAAGGGGAACAGGCTCTCAGAGGCAGATGCTGCCAACAGCCCAGGAGGCACCTGTCTCCCCTGCTCCTCTTGCTCAGGCCCACGGGAGGCGTCTCCTCGGCAGGGGGATTCAATCCAGAGAGCCACATGCTGGCTGCCTGCACTGAGCCGTCAGGGTGCCTGATGAGAAGAGGATCACAGGGACCTGGCAGTTTGCTGGCTCCGCCCCTGCCGGGGGGGGGCAGCTTGTCTCTCACTCTGGCAGGGGGAGGCTCAGGGGAGCTCTACAGTTGTCCCACTCTGGGTACCATCATGAGAACATGGGGCCACCACAGACCGTAGTTCCTGCAAACCGCGCCTCCCCGCCATCTTTTAAGGTCCACCAGCTCTTCCTCGCTGGACAACCCTGCAAAGCCAAACGGTCCTTCAATGATCTCATCGTGTCCACCTCACAGAGTCCTCAAGTCTGCACATGTGGGCTCCCGCTCTTCCCGCAGGAGTAAACTCCAGGGCTACCTTCCCTTCCAAGGCCACTCCCTGAAGGAGCTCTGCCCCCCCATCACTCTGCATCCTTCGGCGCCGCTGTTTCTTCTCAGTGCATACTGGTCACCAGCACTGGACACCTGCACACTGATCTGTAGGACTGTCTCCTCCCTCCTCCAGAACGTGAGCCGTGGAGGGTCCGTCCGACCCCTCGCCTTTCAGTTAGCCATGCTCCTCTCCGCTAGAGGAAAGTACTT